TCCCCGAGGAGGCGCGGAGTCGGTGCCGCCGCCGGTGGGGCCGGGTTGGGTGGGGGGTGGCACCCCGGGGAGGCTCCCGATGCGGAAGGGCGGAGTCTGACTTTGGTGTTGGGAGCCCTGGGGAAGCCCCCCGCGTGGGTGGGTGGGGTTTGGGTAAATGGTAAGAGGGCGGCGGCATAGAGGCCCTTTTTCTTCCCCTTTGAACAAACTTTAGCCACGGAGCAGGAGCTAAGCTTTGGGGTAGATAAGCAGCTTTGGGTGAAACTGGTGAAGGAATAAATGTTGAGATGAAACAGACGGAAGAATAGGTAAGATTTAGGGTGAAGTTGGTGGGGGATGAATTTAGGGGAGAGGTTGCTCCTAAGGTCCAGGCACCTGATCTCTGGATAGTGTTTGGGTGAATTTGGGAGCTGGTTAAAGACCGAGAACTCAGGTTACAAAAGTTAGGACTTGGAATGTGGTGATGGGAAGGGGCACGTGAAGCAACTGGGAGTCCAAACAGTCTATGCCCTGGGCTGGGGCTGGGGTGAGGGGACAGAGTGAGGCCGTGGGAAAGTGGGGTGCGGGGGGGGGGGTCAGGAGCCTGTTGACGTTCAGAGAGCTGTTGGCCCCGGTGGGCCAGCCCCTCAACCCCTTATGGGTTCTTTGTGCCTCTCCAGCTCAGTAGCGCGGCGGGCAAGGCGGGTGCCATGGCCCTGATTGAAGGGGTGGGTGATGAGGTGACTGTCCTTTTCGCGGTGCTTGCCTGCCTGCTGGGGCTGGCTCTCGCCTGGGTCTCAACACACACATCGGAGAGCGGTGACCCGCTGGCCCAGCCATCAGAGACCCCAACACCAGCCCAGCCCAGCGAAGCCATGGTCACCGACAGTGCCAGAGGGGAGGCCCCGGAAGCCGAGACCCCCAGCCTGAGACACAGAGGTCAGGCTGCACACCCCGAGCCTGGCACAGGACTCCCAGCAACCACTCCACCGCCAGACTCCCCCCAGGAGCCTCTAGTGCTTCGGCTGAAATTCCTCAACGATTCAGAGCAGGTTGCCAGGGCCTGGCCCCACGACACCATCGGCTCCCTGAAAAGGTAAGCTGGGATGAGGAAGGGAACAAACGCCAAGGACTGGGTGGGAGTGATCGTAGACCTGGAAGGACCACCGGAGACACTGGAGACTTCCCCCGCGTCTCATAGATGAGGGGACCCAGACGCCCAAACCACACACTGTCCTGTTCCCCGCGGAGGAGGGGACCCCTGGGCGCCATGTCCTGGGTGGTGGGAGTGGAGGCAGAGGTGAAGGACGGGAGTAGTATTCTGGGCCAGGGGCGAGGATTGCTCTATTACCCAGGTCCCTCTCTCCTCAGGACCCAGTTCCCTGGCCGGGAGCAGCAGGTTCGACTCATCTACCAAGGACAGCTGCTGGGAGACGACACCCAGACCCTGGGCAGCCTTCACCTGCCTCCCAACTGCGTCCTCCACTGCCACGTGTCCACACGGGCCGGCCCCCCACACGCGCCCTGCCCACCAGGGTCAGAGCCAGGCCCCTCCGGGCTGGAGATCGGCAGCCTGCTGCTCCCCCTGCTGCTCCTGCTGCTGCTGCTGCTCTGGTACTGCCAGATCCAGTACCGGCCCTTCTTCCCGCTGACCGCCACCCTGGGGCTGGCCGGCTTCACGCTGCTGCTCAGCTTCCTGGCCTTTGCCATGTACCGCCAGTAGTGCCTCCGCGGGCTCCCGGCCGTGTGGCTGGCCCCGCGGGACCTCGGCCCGCACCACGCCGGCGGGGCTGCTGTCTGCCCGGGCCCCGCTCTCTGGCCTGTCTCTTCCCGCCACCCTGGAGCCCAGCCCTGCGCCGCGGAGCACCCCAGCGGCAGGTGGAGGCCCCTCTCGGTGACCTCCATGGCTCCGAGCCACCTTCCAGGGCCGCTGGTTCCGAGCCCCCACTGACCATGGGCTCCTCCGGGTCAGCCGGCTGCTGTCGCTGCCTTGGCCCTGGGCAGGGCGGGGCCGCACCCCTGGGCCCAGCCTAGGGTTCGGCCTGAAGACCCCGCCATCTCTAGTCCCTAATTGCTCCTCGCGCTGATTTGGGACCCAAGGACCCTGGGGGTGGGGGGGCCGAGGGAGCTCCCTGGAACTTGTGCAGATTAAATAACTGTGAAGTTTTCACTCCTGGTGTGTGTCTGCGCGTGGGGCCCGTGGGGTCGGGGCCTTGCTTGCGGGAGGAAGGAGTGAGGCACTGGCTGGGCCTCCGCCCGCCCGGCCCGTCGTGAGTTGCCC